TCATGTAATGGTACAAGATCCCAATGATGAATGTAACTGTATTTTATACCTAAAATGTACCAATAAAGTTAATGGGGGAAAAAAAAAGAAAAAAAAAGAAATCCGTCATTTCTTCCTAGACACTGTCATATTATGATAAAAGTGGAGATACACACAATCTATTTGGGCTAGCATGGAGAGCTTTAAACTTCATTTATTTCTAGATTAACTCTTGATTATTTTTGCCTAATTCATTTAAGTAGCCCTTTCATACTTACTTTTGACAGGTACAAGGTAGAAATTCCCTCATTGGAGAAGAATATAGATGGCCTCATACCATTCCATATGTTCTAGAAGACAGCTTGGGTTAGTATGCACCTGGGAGTGTCTATAACTAATGTATCTTCCTCATAGAATATGATGATATTATTATTCACATGTGTAGGTTTGTGTGGTATTTAAAGTTTTGTTTCTTTGCTCCTTTGTGTGACTATGTATATTTATTTTAAAAAATAACAAAATGAACAACAAAAATACCCTAAATGACTCTGCCAGAACATTTACTGTGTTTTGACCAATATAAGGATCAATTGAATGAACATTTATCAAGAGGCTACTTTGTACTGAATGCTAGGGGTATAAAGAATAGGGAGCTACTCTTTATTTTAAAGCTGCAGTTTTCCATAAGTTCAGATTTTACAAATGAGTAAAATCATAAAATAAGCAACCAAACCAATCTTTTGAGACTAGAATTGTTTACCAACACTTTATTTTGCCAATCACGAATTTAAGAGGATCCTTCTATATTTTATCATTTTTAATAAAATAAATATTATTGGTATTAAATTGTTGAAAACCCTGAAGAATCTAATCAAAAATTAAGTACATATTTTTGTATAAAAGAAATTTAATTGTGATGAAAAACTCTAAACTGGTCCTCACTTTATCTATGACTGAGAACTATGATTTCACATCAGTTTGGAAATTGCTATTTGAGAGAAGTTTGTTTAGGGACAAAAAGATGTTTCCTTAATGAACAAGCCTTACAGTGGAAATTCAGATAAACCAAATTTTTATCTTAATAGAATGGAATAAATATTATGATTAGTGATACATTCACAGACCTATGACAGTGCCCTGGAGGGGGTTTAACTCAACCCAGACAGGAAAGCATACGCATTAGGGTGCAGGAGACATCAGGCAGCAGGGCCCCAGGAAGGTTGTGCAAGTTGTACCCCATATAGATGCCTGGGCTGGGGCTCAAGTGGGGCTCATATCAGGTTTGCGTTCTGTTTATCAAGAAATGCATTTGTCTCTTTACATGAGCCTGCTGTTCATTCTCCCGGCCAGCCAGGGCTCTGCCCAGAGGAAATGCCTCTTTCTAATGGGCACAAAGGTGCCGTGTGGGCTGTCATGGCCTTGATGGCAAGAGAAGGCTGCTGTGGGCGGATGGACCGCAGTGTGCAAAGGCATGGAGAAGGGAAAAACTCCTACCTGGAACTGAGATCGGGAGTGGGAGCTAATGACATTGTGCAGGGAAGAGGGCTCCAGACTGGGGAGACCTTGACTCTCCCAAGTCAGGGAACTTGGTTTGCAGCCTGACGGTAGTGGGGAGCCACCAAGTTTCATTGTGGAAGTGAGTTATAAATGCCATTCATAATTGTAATGATTACTCTGACTGGAGTAGAGAACATTTGCTATTTGTGGGGCATAAAGATGGTAAGGAGTCTGGTGAGAAGACTAGTGAAGAGGCCTGGGAATGGAGCTCAGTGCTAGCCTGCTGGTCTAACATGTGCAAGGCTTGATCCCAAGTGTGAACAATGAGAAAAGACTGTTGAAAAAATTCAGGAAAGGAATGAAGAGATTGTGAACCAAAACTCTTTTAGGAGATATAAACAAGAGTGGGTAAATCTGAAAAAGATTTGGGAAGCAATTGTTAGATTTGGTGATTGACTGCAAAAGTCAAAAAGAAGGTGGGGCCAGGGATTTAGCTCAGTGGTTCCGCCCCCTGCCTCGCAGGCACAAGGTCCTGAGTTCAATCTCCGGAACCAAAAAAAAAAAGAAGGAGGAGAAGGAGGAGGAGAGGAGAAGAGGAAGAGGAAGAGGAGGAGGAGAAGAGGAAGAAGAAGAAGAAGGAGAAGGAGAAGGAGAAGGAGAAGGAGAAGGAGAAGAAGAAGAAGAAGAAGAAGAAGAAGATGGGTCTAATAAAGAAATGCCAGTACTCAGAATCTGTTCTTGGGCAACTGGGTGGATGGTAGTCCTTTAACAAGAACGGGAAATACACCTAAAAGAGGGTGGAATAGAGGTGCATGGTGGAAATTAGTGGTTGGTGTGCCTAATTTAAATCGCATCCGTGTCATTGTGGTAGAGATAGATATCAAACAAAGTGTTGATGGATGATCTGGTAATTCAAGAGAGAAATATTTGGAAACTTTTCGGGTGCCAGGGATGGTTGAAGTCATGGGTGTGGATAAGCATCCTTCACAGTGCCTTGCACATGACTGGTACTCCGCAGAAAATTGGGTCCTACTGAGTGAAGCACAGGTGAAAAACCAAGAGTATGATAGGTAAAGCCAGAAAAGGATAAGAAACAGGGTGAGAAGCTACAGGTATTGAGGAGCTCTTGAAATATGAGGAAAGAAAGATATTTATTGACTTTTGGAATCAAAGGGAACTTGAAAGATTTAAAAGAATTTTTTTGGCTTAGTCTTTTAATTAAAACATTTTAAAGTACTACTCTGCCATAAAGAAGAATACACTTGAGTCATTGTAGGCACCTTGAGACCATAATTTAAGTGACATAAATCAGATACAAAAGCTTGAATATTACATGGTTTCTCTTATATGAGAAACCCAAAATATTAATAACGAACAAAATAAAAGATAGATAATAGGAAGTGGGAAGATAAATATTTCTTAAATGGGAAGAGGATCAAGAGATAGAGGAGGGGGGAGAAAAAGGAGGAAGGAGAGGAGCAAAATATTAAGAAGTGTTGTGTACATGTGCCACCTCCCTGTGGTGTACATAATGTGGTCATTATGTACTGCAAACATAGACTAATTAAAAAATTTTAAAGTACTTTTGTTTTTAAATTTTTAAATATATATATATATTTTTTGGGGGGGATTTTGTGCTTGCGAGGCAGGCAGCTGAACCACTGAGCTAAATCCCCCACCCCTAAATATTTCTTTTTAAAAAATGTATCCTAGGGCTGGGGATTTAACTCAGTGGTGCCACTGCCTGTGTTGAAAGCACAAGGTCCTGAGTTTGATCCCCGGTACCAGAAAAAAATAAAAAAGAATTTGGAAAAAAAAATGCATTCTACATTTTATGAAAGGTAAGTGAGCTTTAATTTGACTGGACCTCTTAAGTTATTTTTGCCATGTATTTTAATCAAAGCTATCTTGGCTTTATCTGTTTTTGTATTTAGTTAACAGACTGTCTTACTTTATTGATTGATGGATTGATTTCAGCACTAAGTATTGAACTCAGAGCTTGGTCATGGCTACGCAAGTGTTCTACCATGGAACTACATCCCCAACAAATTTACCTATTTTTAAGCAATATTATAAGCAAAATAATGAATGCCTTGTGAAAAGGAACTATTCTTCATATTGCAAATCTGAAGGTTAGCCTGGTCTCTGGCAGTTAATAAATATTTAAATATAAATGGATAAACATATAGGAGTGGAATACAACAGTTTAAAAACAGCCTAGATCTTACCACCCAAATTGTGCACATTTTTAGTTATAACTATGATGTTTTAAATTTTTTGTTCTCCCTTTTTCCACTTAATACTATTGCATTTTTCCATACTATAGTCTTTATAATAGAATTAAACTTCAAAGTTTTGTAGATCACTTTCTTCAATTATGTGATTTTGAATTTTTCTTATTCAGAAAATACCTCTGTGTAATAGTGTAGAATTGAATTTATTTTCTGTGTTCAAAGTAGGTCAAGTATTTCCTCACATTTCAGAAATGTATACCATGTTCTAATGACTCAGACAAAAGAAATTTCCAAAGGAGGACACTTTCCCATGAAGCAAACCTATGCATTGGTGGTATAGTGGTGAGCACAGCTGCCTACCATGAAGCAAACCTGAATCCCTGGGAAGGGCTTTCTGGAAATGATTTCTGGATGGTCTGTAGTTCTCAGATTCTGGTTGGTTCACCTAGAAATTCTGCCAGTAAGGCCTCAGATTTAGCTCCAGGCATCATCTGGGAGGTGGTTGTAACTCCCTTAAGTTACGATCTTTCTCAGTGCCAGACTTAGGGAGAAGATACGGAGGAAAGGCTGGAGGTAAAGAAGTGGGGATGAACATGGAGGTGAAGGTCTAGGAACCCAAAGTAGCTAATAAAGGGGAAATCATCCTGCAGAGCTTGTTGCTGAGATCCTAGGATTTCCAAGGACTTTCCTCACCTTTGGGAGCCAAGCGATTCATGACATGATCGCAAGTGAAGCTTTTCCGCATCTAAGTTGCAAAATTAAGGCCTGTGGTAGTAAAGGCACATGGTAAATGAATACTTGGAGATCTGTACTAATTATAACACTTTCACATGTGTTACTTTAGTTGAGTTTCAAAACAGTTCAACACAAGATGGGAATTCTCTTTGTTGAGCTTTTGATGAAAAGCTGAGACTACCATGCCCCAATTACATTCTGTTGTAATCCAGTGATGTGGTGACTGGTATCATCCCGCCCTGTTTTAAGTGTTAAATCTGAAATAGTGATACAGCTTTGATATTTATAGCCTAGAACTTTTGAAACAATTTAAATATTTGGCAGCAAAGAGTTATCTAGGCATGTTATAGCCATTAATGCAGGCATTAAAATGGTGAAAATAATACGTCATGAAGGAGAAATATTTTTTAAATTTTATTTTATTGGTACATTTTAGGTATACAGTATAATGACATTCATCATTGGAAATTTGCACATTTACATAATCTCACTTGGTTCTTATTTTTCCCCCTTCCCCTGCCCTCCCTTCAACCCCTCCATCCATCCCTATTTACAAAGACTTTATTTCCCTTTTTTCCTTTTCTCATATTAATTCCATTCCCTTCTATCCTTTCCCCTACCCTTCCCACTACCTCTTCCCCTTTGCCCCTTTTCTTCCCATTTCACATTATCCATTATACCTTTCAGTGCTTATTTACACTTTCAGTTTCTCACACTAGAGAAACTATTTGGTATTTACACAAGTGTGTCCTATTTATTTCACTTAAGAGTATTGCCTCAATGTGCATCGATTTAGCTATAAATGTCTCTAATTTCTCATTTTTGTGGCTGAGTAGTA